ATATAATTTACTAACCAAAGTAAATTTTCACTTTGTAAAGTGAATTTTCTTTTATCCTAGTGAATGAGGTGAAGCTGTGGTGACTATAATCATGCAATCATGTGCAAGCAAATATTCTGTAATGTTTAGTTATCCTTGCACGATTGCACATGATTTGGTACTTAAAGTGAACACAGCTTCACACTAAACTAATCTAAAGGACTCCAACTACTACTTTAGTAAATCAACCCCAGTGTGTCAAAATTACTGTTTTCTGTTGATAATAGAAAAAGTGCAATCATTGCTTAGTAGCGGAAAGCTGCCCCTGCCACATTTAGGTATAAGCTTACTGTACCTAATGGAAATCTGATCCTAGTCCTATGTATAATTACCCTCAAACATTTTTAAAAACAAAAGATCAGTTCACCACATTCTGGCATTTTCAGCATTGAGTACATGACAATAGGATGAATTGCCCGCCAAGTTTTCAGGAGCACTGACACCTGTGTTTGTAGGTCCATCCAGCCATTGCATCTATTACAAAAGGCTCACATTGCAGTGGCCAGAAAGAAAATCCATGATAGCTGATAGAGCCGGGAGGCCCTGCAGGTCGAGATTTCAGGACTAAGCGCCCCAGAGATAGAAAGGCCAGTGGTGAGTCACTCCACCAGCTTCCAGTAATAGCATGAAACATCCCTTGATAGGGACTGGCACTTTTAGTTATCATTGGCATATCACTTAGGATTTAGAATCAGGATCAAAATAGGAATGCTTGCCCGTATAGCAATCATGATTGACTGCAGCAAGGAACAGATACAAAATAAAACATTTTTCATGAAGGAAATGGCCATAAAAAGTGCTTGAAATTTTTTTTCTTTACTTGAGCTGACCTTCCTTTAAAAGCTGTAACAGCTAAAAATAGTAAAATCTCTCAGCAATTAGTCATTAGCTTTAGAAAATGTACAGCAAAAAGTATGATATTCTTACTCTCCAGTGTGTCATCCATTATTTCAAAACATACACTAAAGAAAATTAATCATAAGATCCTACAAAATTATTTTCTAAATAACAGATGCTTACAGTGCCTTGCAAAAGTATTGAACCCCCCCCCCCCCCCCCCCCCCC